GTTTCTTTTTAGCTCTTCTGCCCATTTTTTGACTGGATTATTTTCTTTGTTGTTGCTGAGTCTCATCAGCTCTTTGCAGATTTTTGTGATCAGTCCTTTATCATTAGTGTTGGGTGCAAAAATGTTCTCCCAGTTGGTGGGGTTTCTCTTTGTTTTTGTTATTGTCTCTTTTGCTGTGCAGAAGCTCTTTAATTTGATGTAGTCCCAAAGCTGAGACATTTTAAGATACAAAGGAAAACAATTGGCCAATCTTATCTAACATAAACCCATCCTTTTATACCCAAGACAAACTTCTTCCTTCTAAAACACAATATTCCCAATCTATTCCAAACCATGCTTACCTTAATTAATTTGAAATAAAACAAATGGGTACATATGTATTGTATAATCTTAATTTAGAGGTTATCGCAGAACTGACTAGAATATAAGATACTGCCAATCTCTTATTCTGACATCCCTCCATTATTCAGGGTAACAAAACATGCCAGAAAACCACATCTGAATTAACACAAATCTAGGTTTGAATCTAAATTTGGTCAATCCTTAGCTGTATAAGATTGGCCAAATTCATATAGCCTCTCTAGTTTCAACTTCTGCTTCAGTTAAATAAAATTCAAAACATCACTGATCTCAAAAGATAGAGAGGAGGGCAAAAGGAGATAGGTAATGGAGAGTGCCCAATACTTAAGCAATGCCAATTCCCTAGAACTGTTGAGTTGAAAAGTCTGGAGAATTCTCATTAGATGAAAGAAAAACAAATAACTCTGGATGCTTCCTTGATAAGTGCCAGATACTTAAGCATTTTTTTGAAATGTCTTACTTATATCTTATGATATCAGTTAAGAATTTTCCCCATTTCCCTGTTTTTCAAGAGGTTAAATAAAGAAGCAGGTCACAAAAATGGTGAGTCCTATTCAAACTCAGGTATTGCTGACTCCAAACACTAGGTAGGACTCTGTCTACTGAAGGCCTTAAATGGCTATTTTTGAAAACTCATGCTGCTCTCAAACAATGTTTTCAATTGGAAAGAAGTTAGAATTATGCACAGTTTTACACACATAATAAATTCCACAGTGAACAGATTTTAGATCTTAATCAAGCCTACCATCATAGTTAAGATTTAGTCTTTAAAGCACCACAATTAATCATTTCAAGAATAACTGTCTTTATACAGAAACCATTATTTACAAAGCTCAGGTCATCATAGGTAAGCCACAATATGGACCACCCATGTACACACAATATAATAAGATTCTAGCTCTGATCAACAACCAAGGCTACTGATGAAACCATTCCAAGAGGCTTTGGTGGCACTAGATTCACTCAGGGATTGTGTGTCCACTGTATAAATAGCACTTCCTACAGTAAATCCTAAAAAATCCAAGACAAACCTACCAGGTAATAAATTTCACATTTCATTTGCACTCAAGATTGAGGTCCTGAGTAGTATACAACCTTACATTTCTTGTCATCTAAAAGTAATTTCTCATTAATATTGTACAAATTATCACCCTTCACAACTATTTCCAGTAAGTTAACTAAATTTGTGAACAATAACAAAAATGTTTAGCAGAGAATTCAAGGTTTAATTCTTTAAATGAGAAAGAAATAAGAATCCTTCTTATAACACTCTATAAAATTCTAAATGAATTAAAAAAGCAAAACCTCCATATAAGTATGCCCTAAGATTACAAAGTAAATAATTTATGATTTTCAGCCTCCTTTTGAAGAACATCTTTAGGAGTTTGACAAAAGCCTTGCTCTCCAAAAATACAAACATTCCTGTCCATATAAAACTTTGAATGCTACTTAAGGTATTCCATTAAAGTTCATCTATAACTCTCCTCAATTTATGAGATAGTCACCAAACTCAGGTAAACATCCCTTATCTAGGAAAGCTATTTTCAGTTTTAAGAGATTTTCTGCTTAGTAGCATGATCCTTTGTGGAATTTACTTTATCAATTTATAAAATTCTAGTTACCCACAACTTTACATTAAAAGAAAGCATCTTCCAAATACTTTAGATTCTTGCAACACTAAAAAAACTCTGGTGCTGGTTGTCCACCAATACTAAAAGCATTCACAAGATGTGTGGCCCTGAACAAGAGGTGCAAAGAAGAGAATTCCAAAATAACGTCAAGGCCAGTGACCTTGAGAAGTTTACAATCTAGTTGTACAGTCTGTTCTATTAAAAACAAAACAAAACACTCTTTTCAACAATTTACTGATCATTTGAACAAAAACCAGGTGTGGTCTTTAAGCTAAAACCTTTAAATGGGTAGGAAAAGGAATAATGTGGGAAAAGAAGACCACAAAACAGAGAAATTAAAGAAAAAAAAAAAGGACTAAATATTCTAAGTAACGTACCTAAGAACGTGCTTGATTGGCCAGGTATACCTAGCTTGAAAACCTATAGACAATTCCACAAGTTAAGTCAACTTAAGAACTGAGGGGGGGGAAAGCAACATTGAATTAGATATAATTACTAATTCAACATAATGAATAATGCAAAAATTACACAACTTTCATGAAGATTTTACTTAAAGAAAAGCTACTGTGAACTAGTAAGAGCAAAGAATTTACCCAGGAACAAAAAAACACATGACTTGTGTGCTATCCACTCCCATTATCCTGCCCACAGCAGACATCACTAATTAATCACACCACCCTTTCCTTCCACTGAGTCGCATAACATCATTTTCCAATAGAAATCATGGTGGGCATTATAACTAGACCTATTTACCTATCCTTGATAGCTATTTTTAAAATACTGTTCAAGTCAACTAAATGAGGTACCAAAAATTTATTTGATGTTCAATGAGTTTATAATAAACTTTCTGAATTGTTTCCCCAAACACAAAAGACCCTTTAAAAGGCTTAAATTTTTCTCTGTTAAAGAGAACAAAACATTATAGTTAACATAACCTTAATTAGGAAAAAATATTCCTTTTTAAAAAATGTAACCATCCCCCATGAAAGAGTTGCAGAAAACTGTAATTAACTACATTTTTCAGCAGCCCTCATTTTTGACCCATTTGAATTAAAAAAAAAAAGAAAATTTATTTTTTCTCAGTATCAATACAATTAAAACCAGACATAACTACATCATTTAGGGGTTAAAAAAATAAAGATTTTTAAAAAACCAATATAGCATGTATCTAGAAATCAAGAGAAAAAAGCAATGACTTCGTCCTTGCAACCTAAAGAAATATATGTCAACATTTATTTACACAACTCTAAAGAAAATATATGTGACTATTTCTTTCATTTGCTTCTAAAAAGAATTTAAGATAGAACACGGCTCCCAAAAGCGAGATGCTAGAAATTGAAATAAAACATATCCAGGAAACTTAAGGTGGGTGACTGTTAACATAAACTAAACAGGAAGACCTAGGCTCAGTAAGTTGTAAGAAAGCACTGTGAGAAAAGTGAGAATTAGTTTCTAAATCCTCACGTCTAGCAAAGAAAAACAAGTAATATTCTACAAAGAAACCGGGGCACTCCAGCTTCCTAGCCTTAATAAGCAAAATTCAAGCACGTGAACAGTGGACAACACAGTATCAAGCATTTCCCCACCCCAACTTCAATCTTAATCTGTTAGTAATACTGAAAATAATAAAATGCTTTGAGAAAGTATCTGTTAGTGTCCATTAGGGTAAACTAAGTGTATTGTAAAGTTGGCTTTTTTTTTTTTAGTAAAGTTCTTTCAGCAGTTTAAGTAGGCATGACCTCAAATTATTCACATTGTAGAGCTCCCTTTGTATAGCCATTCTGAATTTCCCTCACATTATTTCCTGTTATTTTTAAGGATTATAGTTTGAAAGAGCAATTGCACTATTTTTTCTCTTAAAATATAAAAGTATAATAAACATTTTCCTGCCCAGGGCCATTTTTCTACCTAAAACAGGAGTAAAACACGAACCATCTATGAAGACTGGAGATACTCACCAGAGTATGCAGAAGATCTCTAAAAATAATTTGCATCCAGTTATCTGTAGATGCTTTTTCATTTGGACAGACTGCTCATTGGGGGAAAATACATTTAAAATCGAAGTTCATATGTTAATTGAAATAAGCCAGAAAAGAAAAACCACTACATGATCTCTCTTTTATGTGGAATCTTAAAAAAAAAAAAAAAAAAACTCATAGAAAAAGAGATCAGATTTGAGGTTACCAGAGATGGGGATGGAGGGGGAAATTGGAAACTAGAGGGAGGTAGGCAAAAGGCACAAACTTCCAGTTGTAAGTACTTAGGGATGTAATGTACAACATCCTACAAGATGTCTAGAGTTAACACTGCTCTTTAACACATAGGTAAGTTGCTGAAAGAGAGGATCCTAAGTATTTTTATCACAAAGAAAACTCATTTTTTTTTGTCTCTGTATAAGATGATCGATGTCAACAGAACCTATTGTGGTAATCAATTCACAAATATATGTAAATCAAAGCAACATGCTGTATGCTTCAAACTTACAGAGTGATGTATGTTGATTATTTCTCAATAAAACTGGGGGCGGGGCGAATGTGCCTGTTGCTAAAATAGAAATGGAGATAAAAACAGGTCAACTTTGTTTCACAAAAGGTAAACTACTTTGAATAAATGAACATGACCAGGAAAAAAAGGGTTAAAACATCTAGGTAGTGATTACTGGAAAGAGCTTTTGGGGCAAGAAGATACTTATTAAGCTTATATTTACCGGACACTTTTTTTTCCAGATTGGCTTTACTTTTATGACCTGTACTTAGTAAAACAGAGCACTTTACTACATACAACCTATCTCATGGGGGTGGGGGGAATCTATACACTTATCAAAAGTCCTTCTTAAGGCCAATTAAAGAAAGCTGTGGTTTTTCTACTACTCAAAAGAATGCAGGGGTATACAGGTCCCTTTTCCCTGGGAAAAACAAATGTCACAGAAGCACACAGCCCAGACCGAGGCTCCATCCAGCCCTCGGTAATAAACAAAAGCGATGACTGGCGCCCAGACTAAGATCTTACCTCCTGGATGCGCTTCCTGGCCCGCTGAAGCACTTCTTCGTAGCCCTTCTGACGCAGCTCGCTAAGGCTTTCGTAATACTCCTCGGGGTCGTCGGTCTCGGTGAAGAGTACCTGGGAGAGGATCTTCCAGCCGCAGGTGTCCAGGCCGTGGCCCAGGTAGACCTGGAGCTGGTAACACAGAGTGTCGATCTCCTGTTCGGTCATCTCTGGGGCGCCCCCAAACAGCACGGTCCACATGCCCGAGGGCTCCTCGGGGAACACGGGCAGGCACGGTTCCAGCTGCGAGTTTACGGAGCACAGCTGCTGGTGCACAGCGCGCAGATCCTGGAAGGAGAAGAGTCCGGCCCAGCTGCACTCCTCCGCCGGGGACTCCAGCTCGGCGGCGGGCGGGGGTTGCTCCGCGTCTGGGAGAGCCGGGCACGCGGGAGCCGCAGCTTCATCCTTCACCAATTCCAGCACCTCGATCTCTTCGGAGACCGCCCCGCAGGCGCTCACTACCCGCACCGAGGACACCGGGGCCTCCTCCTTGGGCGCCGGTGGGGCAACTGCAGCGGTGGCCCCCGCCACATCTTTGCCTTCAGCTCCTCTCCGGACCGGGCTGGACTTGGCCCGCCCTGGGCTCCGGAGAGGACTCTCCGCCCCTTTACTGACCGGACTCCTCAGTAGCGGGTCCCCCCTAGGGCAGCGCGCGCTCCGCGGAGAGCCGCCTTCCGCCCAGGCCGGGCTCCTCCGGGGCCCCGGACTCCTCCCCAGAGTCGAAGAGGCAGTGGCCTCGGACCGGCCCTTGCCCGCCGGGCTGCCCGGCCCGCGGGTCCCATCCGCCGCGGGTGCGCCAGGTTCAGCGCTCCCTCGTGCCCCCGCCTGCTCCCGGGAGCCGCTCCTCTGCCGCTGGGCCGTCCGGTTGTGGCAGGTTATTGCAAACTTGCCCTCGATCTCGTTCCAGGCCACAATAAAGACGAACTTGTGCTTCTCGCGTTCGTCGAACACATGGGGCCGCACGGCGACCCAGTCCGACTCGAGCGTCTCTTCCAGCGCGAACGACATGGTGGCTCTGGCTCCAGGCCGCGGGGGAGGCGCCGCTGGCCCTGCCCGCCCGAGACTCACCGGCTGGCTGCGCCGCGCCCCCTGCTCACCCTCGCTGGGCGCCTTCAGCCATTTTAGCGCGCCCGCCGGCTCTCCCCGCTCGCTCGCTCGCCCCTGCGCGCTCAGATCCGCCGCGCTCCTTTGTGGCGCGGCTCTCGTGAGAGACAATACGTGTCCCCGAAGCAGGTAGTTCACATGGTCACGTGCGGCCGGATCTGTTTACAAGCCTCGCGCTGCCGCAGCGCCTCGCGCCCGTCCCGGCCGCCCCTCGCGCGAGGCCGCGGTGCTGCGTCTGCGGCGCCCCGGCGGGAGGCGCGGATCGTGCCGAGCCGGGCAGGCCGCCGGGTGGGCGATCCCGGCCGGCGGTGCGTTTGGGCTGCGCCGCTCGCGGGGACCGAGCTCCCCGCCCCTCCTCCTCTTCTTTCCGACCGCCCGCCGCCGGCCTGACTGACGGACGCGTCTCCTAAACTCTAAGCCTCAGTATCGCCACAATGTTGCCATTCGGCTGCTGACGTCGGCGGCTCCACGAGGGACGTAAACATGGGCACGTGCCGCACGCTGCTGACGCGGCGGCGGCGGCGCGCACACCCCGCCCGCGCGCGCCGGCACCGCCCCTCGGCGTCCCCCGCCCCCACCTCTGCGCAGGCTCCTCCCCCCCCGGGGCTGGAGCCCGCGGCGCGCGGGTCCCGAGGGCGGCGACAGTGACAGGTGTGTCCCGCCGCGCAGGTGACGTCCGAGCCGTGAGGAAAGAGGAACAGAGGAGGAGGAAGTGAGACTTTGAGAACTCCAGTCATTAAAGTCACCCTCAAAGGTAAATGTGCCTCCATCAGTCTGAGGTAGGCAGAGTGGATCACTCCTGTGCTCAGAGAAAACGTGACGGAAAATTACGAGAACTTTCTGGCAAACTTTACTGGCCTCCCCGAAACTGTTGGATTCTCCTCTAATACCCTAGAGACCCAGTTTAACATATGAAAGGAAGGTGTCTGACGGCAACCCAGTAGAACCCCAAAACAAAATTGAATGAAATTTTAGTCATGTCCTAATAGAAGGAATGTTTACATTCCAGGTCACCAGTGTTTTATTGCTTCAGGTTTCATCATTGTGTACTGTTCTGTGAACCGCGTTGTGAGGTCAATGACTTGAGACCTTTTGATGTTGTATTAAATTATCAGGGTTCCCGAAATGCACATGCATGTAAATCTGAAGAATTCTGCTAGTCATACTGTGATAAAACACACTCTTCAAATTACCTAGTGCATCTCATGATCCCTTTTTATATTAATTGCATTCTCTTGTCATCCAGCTCATATTGTAGGTATGGGAATTACTCCTGTGCTTTCAACCATACTGCCAAAAAACATGCAAAACCATTTGGGTTACCATGCATTATCAACAACAGTTACTTCAGTATTGTCCTCACATCTGAATAAACAGTCAAGGGGGAAAAAGCTCTTCGGCCAGGAGGAGCAAAAGGGGAAAACACTGGTTTTTAAACCTCTTTACAGTTTATGTGTAAGCATAAATTTTCAAAGCATGTAACTGAATTTATTTGAACTTTTTAATGCAAATCAAAAATATACCTTTGGAAATGCAAGTAGAAAGAAAGAAAATCCATTGCAAATCTGTGTCATCAGCTAAGCAAACAGTGGCACATTATAGAGACATTTCCCATCTTTTCTGCTGAAAAGTTTTGATAAACGTTTTTCTGATAATAAGTGATATGATTAATAGTTCTCTTCTTATGATACATTACACGTAAGTATGAATACTGAGGACGAATGATAAAGAAGTGTTTACAGGAAATATTTTTACTTTCATATGTATTAAAATTGCAATATTTGTCCATAGATATAAAATTGGCTTAATATTGCTAGAAAAAAGTGGCTTGTGGTTATCCAGGTGTTAAGTATTTTCCCACAATACTCTACTCACTGTGTTTTGTAAAAGGGGTTTGTCACTGTTTCTCGTTTCCTCTAGCTTAGCAATTGTTATTTTAGAAATGAAAAGAAACAAACCAAAATTCCCAGGGCAGGTTACAACTATAGCATTCTACAATTCTTTATTTTGGTCTGTATCTGATTGTCACACAAGATATGAGTGTATAAATTACTCCCTGGGAATAAGTAAAGCTACAGAAAAAGTTCTACACCATACCAGCTTTGAAAGGGCTTGAAAACAATTATCTGTAAGAATTGAGGGTTCAGTTTTGTGTTGCTTTGTATTGTGAATAGTGTTGAGGATTGTTAGGTAATCTGGGAAATGCTTTTGCTCTTTAGTACTTTTACTACTGAAGTACTCTTTAGTACTTTTAGTACTCTTTAGTACTTTTAATAAAAACTACTAATGTTTACATAGCAATTTTCAAATTACACAGCATTCTGCACATATCCTTTTATTCTCATAATAATCATATAATGTAGTTTTTTTTTTAATCTATGAGAAAAATGCAATCATGAGTTAGTTAGAACACACATCTCCATGTTAGAAGCAGAGAACGATTTGATTCAGAGGCCTAGTAGAGCTGTCTGTCCTAGTTAGATTCTCCCAGAAGTAAACACTGAAGTTAGGAATACAAAAGTTTATGGGGGTAGGGGGTTGGGAGGTGTAACACCTGTGAAAGACAAGGGGCAGAAGCAGGATTGGACAGGTTAGGCCAACAAGGAGCTCCAGAGCAAAGACTGTTCTTTAGTGAAGTTCCTCCATTGAGAGGAAATCGTTAGGCCTGTCATTGACTGGGTCCCACTCTGAGAAAAACATAGGATGAAAACATGAAGCTGACTCTGAAAACATGAACAGCTGGGGACTGACAGCTACCCACAGTCCTTTCTTGATGGAGGATCTGATTGATTCATCCCTGCATCTGTTGGTTTACTTTGCATGTCATGTTTATGTGCTTTATAACACTATTTGGGGAGCAGCTCCTATAACCTCCAGACTACAGATGTTCTCATGGCCACCAGTGGTACTCAACTAGAGGTTTACAAGTGGCTCACCTGAGTTCCTCTCAGCTCCCATTACCTAACAGCAGTCCTGACTCCTCCCACTGCCCAGGGTAAGTTACCCCTGACAAGATGATGATTCCTCTTTTCCCCTGCTGGTTCCTGGGCCCAAAGTGTCCAAGTGGCAGCTGTAGCCTGTAGTTCAATGGAATCTTGCTATCCCCTGGCAAGAACACATCCATTTTGGGGACTAGGCCTCTAATCCTGCAAAATCCAGAACTGTGGGGATAGCAAGACCTTTCCTGCTTCCACCCCTTGGTTCCTGGACCTATGTATTCTTCCTCTTGGCAGCATAATGTTATCTACAGATCTGTGATTCGACATTTATTAACAATTTGGAGGATGGTACCACCATCTTGCAGGGTGTTGCCTTTAATAGGGTGTTTCAACTGTGCTCAGCAGGTCATGCCAACACTATTTAGCTAGCAGCTTCTAAGATGATTCAGTATTAACATGACCAGTGAATCTGTAAAGTGGGTCCCCTGGCCGGATGTTATATTGTTTAATGTCTGTAGACTAGGCATTGTGCATGTGGCTTGCCATTGATGCTGGCTAAGGCATTGGAGGTGAAAGTCAAAGGAGGCAATCACTCAGATTGGCTTTTAACCCATTGGCTTCACCTCTGACACTGTGGCCATATTACCTATTTGTCTATCATGCTAGTGAATTGCAGTTGATGAAGTTATTTGGTTCCCTTTGTTATTTGATGCCCATGACATGTGGGTGCTTGCTTTCTGGTGATCATTAATATATGATATTTGTATCTTATGAATCTTCGCATCTTGTATCCACTCTCATATGTTCATCTGCATGTCTCTTTCCCAGACATCATTGTCTCTGATACTCTAATTTTTCTCCTTTTATGTCCCTGACCATTCATTATTGTCCATGAGTCCATATACATTTTGACTTCAGCCACTTCTCCTTTCACACAAAGAATGACCGTGTGACTCTCTTGAAGCTCTACTCATTGGTTTGAGTTAAGATTTGAGAAAAATTTGTCTTTCACACAGTGTATCATTGCTGTCTTTCATAGCCATCCCTGAATAAGGCTAAAATGCACACAGAATCACTTTTGGTTTTCACTCACATTCTGAATCAACCATCGATAAACCAAGCTTAAGAGTTTTTCTTTTACCTTTAGCTGATTGAATGGGAGTTGATTCCCTGAGGAGGGACACTGCTACATGGCAGATGCCATGTTGGGGCATAATAGATGCTGTGGGATTCTAGACCTACTGTTTATGCCCTTTGCTGTGTCCTCTTTTCTTGCTCATGCTGAGTCCCAGAAGTATTTCCATCTTATGATAGATTGCTCTTGGGTTCATCTTACTCTATGACTTGTTCCCAACTCATGATGGACAGTTTCAGACTCATATTATTTGGTATCCTAAAGGCAAGTACTCCAATTCCATCAAGGCCCATTAGAATTCTAGGAGCTGTTTTACAAAAAGTGCTTGATCCTCTTCTGCAAGTGATATAATCTTTTTCCATAACCTTGGGAGCCTTGGTTGTATTCTACCAGGATTTTCCATAAACTTCACACCATATCTTTTTCTACTACTGTAGAGTGTGCTTAGATTTTTGTGCCAAGTTGAAGGACTGCTTGCTCTGTAGCCAGAATCTCTTGCAGTCATTTTCTAATCTGAGCCCCATTCAAAAGTGACACATTCCAAATCATCTAATATATGTGCTGGAAAAGTTCCCTAAGGTCTGAAATGTGTTGCCTCCAAAGCATAAGGAATCTTACCAATCATTGCAGTTCCTTCATTGTAGTAGTGGATGCATAATGCAGCAATGTGTCCTTTACTTTGAAGGGGATGTCCTGGCATATACCAGATCATGGGATGTGCGGAAACTTTACTGGATTGGCAAGTACTTTAATATTGGTAGAGTTTATCTCCCTCCCTCTGGAGTGCATGTGTTTTACTAAGATCTCCCTCATGCTAGCACTCTGTTACTCATCCAGCATGATATCATCAATATAATGAATCAATATGATGTTCTGTTATATGTCCAGATGGTCCAGATGTCTTCAAGCTAAATTATAACAGATGGTGGGAGAGTTCTCAGAGTCCTGAAACAAACTGTTCCTGACCTTTCCTGCCTGGAATAGAAAAAGTAGTTTTATCAAATCAGTGGTTGCATACTATGTAAATCCCTATTATATATATTATATATTTATGTATTATATAAATCCTTGTATATATTATATATTTAGTCAGGGAAATGGATATGAACTGAGTTCACAGGCCCTGTTGACCTAGACTTTG